TGGTCACTAGTGGTCCATTCTTTCACCGTCCAGCTAGCCAAGAGGTTCGACAGATTTGATGTATACAAAGTTACATCGATATCCGTCTCCCCCATCATACTGCGGCACGTTGGAAGCTGGACCTTCCTGTTCGCCACTATTAGCGCATATAGGTCTATGAATTCTTCAATGACTTCTCCATTCTTATCCTGTATATTAGACCAGATCTTTGACTTGGCGTTTGCATCCGTTCCAACTAAGACTCTTTTGCCTTTCAATTGCTTCAGAGGCTTAGATAGTTTGTCAAGATAGGTCTTCCTGCTGTGGCTGAACTGGCAATAGACGCTTATGAAATAAATTTCATCAAAGGCTCCGACGACCTGGGGGACACAGTGGGAGTCACACAAATTAGAAATCTTGGTAGCTGTGACTCTGTTCGGGTTATAGAGTATCGCGGCTTGAATCACTTCGTCTTTTTCGGTTCCGTGAATGGCCGTGATACTGCCGATGCCTGAAATCGCATTATTCCAATGGTATGATTCTTGCACTAGTACTACCTGTTTGTCAAGATTTCTGTTTGTCATGATTTCTCCGAGCTCATCGTTGGCTACTTGCTTTTTGTTGAGGTTCAATTGTATGATCCTCAGTTTCTGGCCTAGTTCGGGGTTTTGTCGTGCCTTCGAATTAAACCTCTTAACTGGTGGACAATCGTCTTTGATTTCGTCTGAATTGGTTAGTTGCGTAGGAAACTGAGTTGAGACCAGTGTGTTAGAGCAAGGCTCTGATTTCTCAACGGTCGCCTCCTGCTTACGTTTTCTCGCCTTTCTATACCTAAAATGGTTGACCATTTCGCTTTCGAGGTACAACGCAATGTTATATTTGATCTCCTTGGAATCGCTTGTAGCGTTTCTGGAGTGGGACGTTCGACTATTAGTTTTAACGTGTTAACGTATGCGTTCAAAATAAGCGAGTAGTGCGAGCAGTGATGAGTGAGTTTGTGCGAGCTTAGTTACCTTTTCGTGTTTCTCCATGGTTTTCCATGGCTCTATTAATTACATTGATTTAGCTAGCTATTTTCATAGCTTTTACTAACTTGTTGTTAGTTAATTTATATTCATGGATTTCATTTTATTTGATTTTTTTATTTTTGATTTGATTTTTGATTTTGATGTTTGATTTTTAATTTTTAGTTTGATTATTTATTCCTACTTATTTCTAAATTTCTAAATTGGTTTCTTAATCTAATTGGTTTAATCTATTGGTTTTTTTTTCTTAATCTAATTACTACTACTGCTTATATCACTATTAACTGCTTAAAACTAATTTAAATTGTAACATATAACTTATAACTACTTACAAATGTACCGACGTGTTTGTTTTCACGCCAGGTTTAAGATTAATCAAACCTGGTCTTAGTCATGGGTTAGGTGTTTCGACGTATTGCAACCAAAGTAGCGCTTGAGTGAGCTTATCGGGTTTCTGCCTTTTCTTTCGTCTTAGCTTGTGTTCATGTATAGCAGCACTGGATATGATGGGCATTTAGTGCATGGTTTTCGCTTACAAAGAGAGCTGACTTTCACTAATTTCGCTTTCAATTGTAAAGCTGCTTCAGCTATCAGGGCTTAAACCATTCTTTAGCAGGAAGGATGCTGCCTTTCTGTGGAAATAATTCTCCTGAGGGTTTTGGCATCCGTAGTGCGTTCTAATCATCGAGAGTTACTCAGCCTAATGGACTATGTTCTCTCGCAACAATGGTGTCGGGCCTTACTCCAGGAGCTCAAGGCAAAGAACTTTGGGTGGCTGCTACGACCACGGTCGCAACTCTTTACCCACAATAGTGGCACCTACCGATTGCTAGTCGGCAGGAAGTAATTTCTTATCTACCCGAATTAAATTCGGATCGCCGGGACCATTGGTCCTCTGAAACTAACTCCCGGAGCGGTCTCCGTCCTCTAAAGAGGGTGCGCGATACCACAATCCCGAGAGATTTCTCCTCTAGTGACTCCCAGATTTTGGCTTATCTAGACTCGAGTTGAGCTCTTGTGGTGTGATAGACTCCGCGTTGAATTTTTTAACGTTTACAGGCCAAATCTCACCACGTGTTTTTGTGGTCAGTGTTGGTATTGCTTTGTTTTGCCAATCAGCCTATTGCCCCAGGGGCAAGCATTGTGTGTTTTGCCTACTGTCTCTTTACAGAGACAGCGTTTTCAGCCCCACCACGTGAAGATACACACATCTGCACTTGTAACTGCAAGTCTTCTTTCAAATACACATTGCATTCACTTCGTGTCGACTTGCATTTACTGCTTGTCGAGGGCAATCGGTGGCGCATTTTGTACATCAGCATTTGCATTTGCATATGCCCGTACAGAAAAGAGAAGTTTACGACGTCCTCTCCCAAAACAACGAATTGTTTGTTTGAGAAGTCTCCGTTCTCTGTTGAGGAAGACAATTACTGTCCGCCGCTTTGACAAAAGATTTTTGCACAAAGTGACCTGGCCAGCCTCGCGGCTGGCCATATGGTGCACTATGTGCATCATCTATATTTTTGCTAAGCGGATCCTAATCGAGCTTCCTGAGAGCGTCGTGATTGCAACCGCCTACCGCTATTGACATGTAGAAATCTTACAGGATGAAGATCACGCCGGAGCAGTTCGAGCAAGCGGCGACCGCCCTTATAAGATTGGATTTGGGCCCGGCCGCCAACGGAGTAGTGCACGCCGCCCTCCACCTTATTAAGGAAACAAGAAAATAGAAGGAACAGGCACGAGCTCAAGCTCGCGAGAGCTCGTCATCCGTGCTGATTGAGGATGTGGACGAAGATGAATCCCAGACTCCTTCATGTGCTCCGAGCGTCATATATTAAGAGACCCTACTAGGGTCACCCGTCGCTGCTAGGATCACCAGCTGGAGGCATTCCGGTGGCAGCGCCAAAGGTATCGACGAGTATCCAGACTGATAGTATGACCGTTGATACCGAATGGCGCCCAGATTTTCTCCACCAGCCAATAGCGCCGGGTAGTCACCGGTCGTGGGAGGAAATCGTCAAGGGCTTGAGGGAGGTTGAGCTAGGCTAGACCACCCTCAACGCACCTTAACAAGCCGTATACACTGAATTTGACGCTTCCACTGCTAAGAGACACCGTCCCAGCGATCTAGATCATTGGAGCAAGGTGGTGTCTCGTCGACGCTAGTTCGCTGCAGCGTTAAAGGAGGTGCAGTGTCGACACCGCCATGCCCTCAAGGGCCCGGTTGGCGACCGATCTTCGGCTACCAACCAACCTCCGGTAACCAAGACCCCAGTATCTACTCCACGGCGACAGTCAACCAAAACCAACGAACGTGCGGGGTAAACCTGGTAGTTAACCTTAACAGTGGTAGCGTGGACCAAGGCACGGGACATGTTTAAAATATACTCTATCAATCTATATATTTATTCGTGAATAAAATATTCACCTATTTTTTCACAAAAACCAATTAACCTTTACTCATTTCAAGATATACCTAAAAAGTTATCTGAAACGTTAATGAAGCTTATGGTTAATTAGAAAATCGTTGTGAAAAAACATATTTAGAGGATAACGGATCTATCAAGTAGTCATTTACCTTCTCCCATGCAGCACAGTCATCATCAAGATGGAATATGCAAAACAATATATATTTCAATTCAACGAGAGTGTCTCTATCGCGTCGAAACATTTCAATTTGCAGCCATCTTCAACCACACTTCGTTTTACAGCTTTGTTGATCTATTCAATGTATTAACGTAAATTTTTAACAAAAATATTAATTATATAAATGTTTAATAATTTACTAACAAATTAAATTATAAAATCAGAATGTCGGAGAAACCGTGATTTTTATTTAAATCGTTATTTTTCAGCCGTAATAATTAGGCTCCAAAATCCAAAATATTTTTTTATATCTTTTGTAAACTAAAAGCCGTTATTAATAAACAACATTATCATAAACAAATCTCCTTTTGATCTAAAACGTGCATCTAAAAAGAACTTGCAATCTGAGAGTGCGCATTGAGATCAAGTGATTCGACTGATCTAGTTCCCCACCCCTGTAATCTAGTATACTTCTGATCTAGTATGTTTCCCCCCTATCTACTCTTTATAATTGAGAAATTTCATTATAATAAAATAGAATTATAATTTAGTCAATTATCAGTGTATTATACAGAAATGTTGAGTCACATTCGTGTCGAAGTTGAAAAAAATTTATAGGAGAAAAAATGTTTGTTGTTTCACGTAGAATACTGCGATAATTTTTTTTTTGGTTTTTCGAAAAATTTTTTTTTTCGGTTTAAATTATTTTTCAAGGTCGAAAAAAAAAAGATTTTTTTTATGTAATTTACGATACTTGTTATGTAGTATTATTGAATGGGTGGAAAAAAATTTTTTTTTGTGGTTTCTCATCTTTTTAGCGTACCGACTGTGAGAAAAAAAAATTGAAAAAAACCGAAAAATAATTTTTCGAAAAACCAAAAAAAAAAATTATTGCAGTATTCTACGTGAAAAAACAAACATTTTTTCTCCTATAAATTTTTTTCGATTGTTACAATTTGACGGAGATAAAAAATGTTGAAAAAAACTGTCACTTCCAGGAAAAAATGCCCGTGCGCGCGTCATATTTGACGAAAATAAATTTTTGATGAGTGATTCAGATAGGGCTTGGTAATAGCTAAAAAATGGTGTACTTCAAATTTTCGTACGATTTTTTTTCCAAAATTGGCTAATTGTCAAAAATAATAAAAAAATTTCAGAATTTTCAATTTTACATAATTGTTGCAAACTTTAAAAAAACAATCGATGGCAACCGTGAGTCATACCATTTGAAAGCTCTCCGAAAGACCTTTCAAACGCACCCACGCGCGTCTCTGTACGTTAATTTCTACCAGAGATATAAAACTTTGAAGTTAGACTGATTTTGCCCGTGGGGGGGTAAAAGTGCGTGAGCGGCACTGTAGGTGAAACAATATGCTTTATTATCAAATCTACAAATATACAATTTACCTTTTAGTGTGGAGTGCTGTTCAAAATCATGTGTAACTATATCATCCAATCGTTTTTCTATTAAGAGTGTAATCCGATCTTCTACAGCTTTCAATATTTCTACTGCTTGTTGATGAGTAATATTATCAAACGTCTTCATTCCCTGGAAGAAGATCTTCTTGGTAATTGAAATCAATATTTTCGAACGATTAATAAATATTATTTAAATACGATTTATAACAGTAATAAGATATAACATACGTATCAAGTATTGGATTTCGAAATCGTTCATATAACAAAAAGATTAGAAACAAGAACTTATTCAAGCGTCTTGAAGTGTGGAAGAAGAAATCAAAATCTGCCACATATAAAAATATCATTCAATTATAAATTCCCCCCCCTCCCCAACCGCCCTTCACGAAAAGTAAATTTAACATGCAAGGAGACTGCATAACATTAGAAACCACGATCGTCTTCCGTAAGGCAAACTTTTTAAAAATTAAACTGTGACGCTCATTTTAATTATAACTATATTTTAATTTTACTTCAGTTTCACGAGCTCATCCCAAAATTAATTATTACTTATTTTGTTCGCTATGGTTTGCGAGCATGGACCTCTTATATACTTAACTACGCAATATCTAGTTGCTAGGTGTCTAAGAAGTGCTGTTGGATCCTTGCTAATAAGTCCAAGCGAACAGCACAGGACGAAACGCCTTTAATTTTTGGAAAAAATTTTCATTTCGAATCTCGCGAACCATAAGAAACAATATGAGTAATAATTATTTTAGGTTGAACTCGTAAAACCGAATGAAATCGTAAGCTTTTTAGTTTATCATAACTACTGTAAAAGTCATGTATTTATTTACTTATGGAGATACGTGTATATTGTTTTAGAGAGCTATACTGAGCTTGATTAGTATGCAAAAGATTTTACATTCAAATTACTAATGCATACATAAGAGAGAAATTGTTTACATTAATTAGTATGTAATAAGATAAATATAATTGATGGTAAAAAAGTCTCACTTAATCTAGTTCGTCAGTTCGTCAGTTAATGACTAATAAATTATGAAAAAGAAAAATTTTTCAGGTAGGAGTGTAACTCATGTAAATAATTAATCAAGATTTATATTTAACTGACAGTTAAATTAACAAAGAAAGAACAAAAGTAAATTAGTATCTAGTGGGCATCAAATCCTCAGTCTTATGTGGGAAAAAAGCCATTTAGATACCAACAAATTAATACAAACTAAAATCACACATTAACTGATTATCGTTTGCAACGAGGCAGTGCCTAGACCGACACTGACGTCACCAATTCTTCAATAAAGGGGAGAATATGAGAGGTGCTTTCGCTCTTACAATCGGGGAAAAGGAAGAGAACAGGTCGAACGAATAATTAATTGCAATTTTGAATAACAAAACTTATCTCTATTCACAACTCGGTTATAAATAACTTACATTATCGCGCGTATAAACACAATAAAAAATTAAACACAAGACACAGGAAAATGGATTGCCTGACGACAGAATCACCTTGGCAGTTCACTTCCTTACAATTAAAAAAAATCGATACCTGATTACTGCAGAACGATAATTATACCCGACAAGTGATCGCCTGGCTATTTACCGGTTCACGCGGTCGCGCATAGCCAAGAAAGAGACACAACGGGAAAGAGAGAAAATGTGACCTTTTGTTTATGCGACGAAGAAGGCTGCAGGGAGTTGGTCCAGCTATTAGCTTCTGGCTGCTTGGTGGTTGCAGGCAGTTTCCTTAAAGTAGTGCCGTTCACAGTGTTCGGACTCATAGGCAAAAGAAGATGCAGAGCGTCACTCTTAATGTCGAGTACAGGAACAAAGGAGTCGGTCAACTTAGGCAGACTGTACCGAAGAGGAAAGAAAAAAGTGTATAGCCGCACAAGTATTGTCGCGAGACCAGCGTCTGCGCTCTCGCCGGGCTCTCCCCACCAAGCCTGTTGATTAGGTGGTATGCGACAAAAAACGCTACGTGCATACGCGGGCACTCTACCTTTCTCGCTCACTCTCTCTCTATCTCTCTCTCTTTCTCTCTCTAATACCTAGTCGCTGCGTTCTCACCTTCTCGGGCTCTCCTAGCCTCTAATAATACAATGAGTATGAATTTAATATCAATTGATCACTTTAATCATACTAACCTCAAAATAACGACCAATTGATACCTTAAGGGAGAAATTATTTGAATTTTGCTCTATGTGCAGTTTAACTTTAAATAAAAAAAGTTGACCATTGACAGATTATCAAAACAAAATATTGTACAGTTTCGGCTTTATTAAATTACGAAAGTTATTAGAAAATTTTTTGAAAAGGCACTAGTTATAACTGTGAACGTTCTATATCGAAGTGTGTTATTTACATCGTGATATATATGATTATAGAAAATTCCATATTTATTTATTAATAAATAATATCGTCGGCAATATTTCATCAAATAAAGGAATATCTAATGTATATTGAATTATCAAATGTTGAAATTTATAAAACTTCATTGCTTTTATTTCATAATTAAAATACTCATATTTCTTGAAAATCATGCTTGAAACATAATTATAACATAGTTGTCGCATACAACAATATTTCGGTTAAATAAATTGAAATAAATTTTTGATAGACTTATTTTTAAAGTATGGTGGTAGCCCACGTTACCACCTCATTTTTTTTCCTTTGATTATTTATATACTTTTTAAAGTATTTAGACCTGGTTTTTTGTCATTTTAAGTTTCTTTGATCATAAAATATCATAAAATATAGTTAAATAACCATAATTGTTTATAAATCAAAGGTTATTTTTAAACCAATTGTAAAACATGATTTTTTTGGGAAAAATTCATATTTGAGAACTCTACCCAAGAAAATAACTCAAAATTTTGTAAGGATATGTTTTCATAGTCACTGATTGCAAATATAACGTCGGATTTTCTAAATTCAAGATGGTGGATCCAAGATAGCGTAAGTTAAAATATTAATATACTAGAGTATTGAAGGAAGGTTTCGACGAATTTTAGTGATCGTCTATTACAATACATATGAATTCAAGAGAACTAATTTTTTATCTAATTATTAGGATCTCTTTGAGATAACTAACGTGAATCGTAGTTGAAAAGATAGTTTTCTAAAATTTGTCAATAGTCCAATAATCTGTTGAGATTATAATAAACATATGAGTTATATCGACTACACTGATCAACTCATTTTGACCTATAAGATTGATCAAAAATCAAGAAAATGGTGGTATTGATTATTTTGGTATTTTTTTGATGTCGCTATAACTGATGCATACATTTTGGAATAATCGTAAATCAGAGCTGACTTTGAAAAAATTACAATTATTGTTGGTAGAACAATTGGTTGAGACTAAAATTTTAATTGCTAGCGGTAGAAAGCATCAAAGTGGAGTTTCCGATATACCTCAACACGATAAACCACAAGTATCTAGAAAAAGACATTTTCAAGCAGCTCACATGCCTATTTTCGCAAATGTGCTCATTGCAGTTCAAAAGCGGATTAGAAGAGAATCATATGAAAATGTATGACCTGTAACGTATCACTCTGTCAAAATGAAATTATTTTCATATATATCGTATCTGAATAAAATTACTTACAATTATTTATTATTAATATTTTTTGATAATTATATAGAATTACAAATAACATGTTTTAAAGACAAAAAAAAATTTTTTTAATTAAAGAAAAATTTAAAAAATTTTTAAAACTGTAAAACAAGGCAAAACTTAAAATTTTCAAGTCTGTTTGACTCCTTTGTAACAGCTCAATTGAATCATCGATTAGAATAATTGAAATGAATCTAACTTTGACGGGGTCTTTTATGTGATCTCAAAAATCCATCAGTAAAAAATCTCTCCAACGTTCTTGTAAAATAATGTTACAGCATCCGCAATCTCAAATTCGTTATTTTGAGTCTTGAAAATCTTGAACTTTAAAAATCTTTCGTTAGATTTGTAATCGCCAACCCTAAAAAAATCTTAATAAATATTTTCATCAATATTTTCATAAAGTAACGCTTTGGCTTCCTCCAGCAAGGATCTGCCATCTTGTATTTTGATAAAATGCTTCATAACATTGCGACTTATTTTTTCATGAGAAGATAGGGGAATAGATTTCTTTGTGAACTTATAACAATCACCAACAGAAAGAGCATTGTCGCAACCATATGGTACATAGTGACAAATGACAATACATACAATTTCCTTTTGCATTCATTAAGTGAAGATAATATAACAGTAGGTGTCAAAATTGTGTCCTCTGAGCGTTAACGAATTAAGTGGTAGCCTCTCATTAAAAAAATCTTTTTTCAATTTTACAATTTTATATAGAGGCTGGGTAGAAAAAGCTTAAGTCCGAGTTCAAGGATCTCATTCAACGAAATCAAAACGATAACATGAACAGCATAATAAAATCTGCCACCCGGTCCGATTTGATTGATGGATGAGGAACTACTTTATTACATCTGGCAGCAATAATAGCGTAGATATCATTCTAGATTTGTTGCTGATATGCTGCGATATCAATACGAAAAACTCATCAGGAGTTACGCCGCTTGTGTTGGCTGCACTATACCATCAAATTTATGCGCTAATATTTTTAATAGACGAAGATGCGGATGTTTTTGCTTTAAATGTAACGGCCAAAGTTGTATTGAAAATAGTAACTGAATCATTGCGTCATATGCCAACACAAGTCAATAAACTCTGCTTCCAAATCTAAAAATAATAATGGCGAATACTGACGGAACAACTACTATTTTGGCAATAGATCGTTGCAAGTTTTATTACATCATCATGTAGTTAAATAGTGCTGACATCACGAAGCTAGTACTAAACAAAATGTATATTGATGCAAAAACTGCAATGAATAATATAAAATACTTAGTTGAGATGTGCGATCTAAAATACATCGAAATACTCACAACGCATGATAGCATATCAGAGTTTGGAATAATACATTTCTAGAAGAGTTTTCTTGTTTGAATCTGGACGAAAATTGTCAAATGTAGGATTTTGTTAGGCTGTATGTAGAACAGTTATTGAGTGTAAATGGTGATAGATTCTTGGATTTTTGCAGAAGATATTTGAAAAAGCCCACATATCATGAAATATTAGATTG